AGTCCCAAGGGAAGAGAAATTATGTGGGAACCATTCTTTAATCTATTCATTAGAAAGCCTCTCAGACTCTCAAGCACAAGTTTGCATCACGAGTTTGTCGGTGGAGGTATTGTTGCTGGTGCCACATTTTGGGGACTTCCTGCCTAGGACTGTGAGCCGTAGGCAGAGAATGATGTTAAAAAATGCTTTGGAAGGGCAGCCAGTCCTTCTGTGACTGGCTCTGACATTCCACACGCAAAGCAAGGAAAGAGAAAAAAGCAACTGAGGTGTCTTGGAGCTCTTTTTCTTTTTCTCTCAAGAAGTGACAATGATGCTTTAGAAAGCTTCCGTGGCCCTTGAGTGATCCACAGAGTCCCTTGAAAAGGTACCAGATACACATGCCTGATATTGACACTCAGAAAACCTTGACACAGGAGTATACCAAGCCATGCAAAAATATCCTGAGCACGTGAGAGGGAGAAATAACATTGATTGAAAGCTTGTTATAGGCCCCAAATTTGTAGACATAATAACTTATCTTTCACAATGATCCTATGAAGTATTATTATTATTATTATTGAGTTGGAGTCTCACTCTGTTGCCCCAGCTGGAGTGCAGTGGCATGCTCACGGCCACCCCAGCGTTGACCTGCTGGGCTCCAGCGATCCTTCCGCCTCAGCCTTCCAAGTAGCTGGAACTACCGGTGCATGCTAACGTGCCCGGCTAATCTTTAAATTTATTGTAGAGATGAGGTCTCGCCAAGTTGCCCAGGCTGTTCTCAAACCCCTGGGCTCAGGCAATCCACTCACCTCCACCTCCCAAAGTGCTGGGATTATAGGCTTGAGCCACCATGCCCGGCCTACAGGGACTATTATTAACTCTATTTTATAGATGAGAAAAGTGGGACTCCAAGTGATTAAGAAATCTGCCTCAAGTCACATTCATTGGGATGCCCGAATGATTGGTTGGGGGCAGAGTCTCTGTTTTTCCAAAGTCCCCATGCCACAGCCAGTCAGTGACCCGCCAGTGGCAGGGTGGGATTCAAACTGAGATGTCACTGATGCCAACAATCCTCATCTTAGCAAATATACAACACTGATGGCCATCACACCGGCCTGTCTCTTTAGAGAAAGCCTGAATTGCTGCTTTATTCTTTCTGAACTGTCAAATATTGAATTCCTTTTCACTTTCAGAATCAACCTTTCTGCTGTCATTGTAGCACCAAGGATGTTGTCAGGAGGGAAGTTTCTAGAATCCACATGTACTGGCTTTGTTACCTCTCTCGTTGTTAAGAAGCTTGGTCAGGTGGTGAGAGATTATTTTTTTCTGACCTGTTGTGATGTGACAGTGCGTACTACAGAAAAAAAAAGTCTTAAACATGGCAGAAAGTGCACTCTACCAGAGCTCAAAGTCCAAAGCTATGTTGCTGTTGACCAGCTACCTGGACAGGCTTCACTGTTGGACTTGGTGTTATTTGTATCTTAAAACAGGGAAGGGAAAGAATCTGCATTGGTCTTTTCCTCTGCGGCATCTCTTTTCCACAGCACAATGCTCTTCCTGTTGCTTGAAAGGATCAATGAGTCTAGTCCTAATGGGTCGTAACTTGATATGGCTATAAGGATTAGTGCCTCTGGTCTTCATTGAGTCGCCAAGGTAGTGTAATGCTATGATATTCTTTAAAAAAAAAAATCCCAGACAGATCTTGTTAACTAGATTTCTTGTTACATTTGGAAGGCTGCTTGCACTGTGGCAGCCTGTCAACATCTCAAAGCAGGGTATATACTCAAAGGTGTACTTTTACACGATGAGTTCTAGAAACTTCTCAGGCAGGGTGAAGGTGGGGTGGTTTAGTGCAAGAAAAGGGAAAAGATACAGTAACTCAAATGCCAGCCTTGTCAATTGTTCTAAAGAGTCATGGCAGTCTGGAAAGGAAGCTTTTAGCCTCCTACGTTTCTCTGTTTCTCTGTACTGACTGTAGCAGGCAGTGATAGTTGTTTACAAAACTGGTTTCTTTTTTTCTCCTGAGTACCCAGGGAGGTTACGTTTCCCAGCATCCCTTGTTTTGTGAGTGGCCATGTGACTAAAGGAATGCGAAAAGTATTAACATGTGCTACTTCCAGGTGTGGTCCTTAAAAACCTTCCCAACCATCTCCCATACTTGGTTTCTTTTCCTCTTCTGGTTGACAGGGGACACACTGGCACACTGGAAGGCACACTGGAAGGCATGTGTTCAAGATAATAGAGCCATCAGGATCCTATGTCCCTATGACAGTGGAGGGGCGGATCCTCTCCCACTGACCAGGAGTACTCTTTGGATTCTTAGGTAAGCAATTCTATTGTGTTTGAGCCATTATATATTTGGGGGTCTACTTGGTATCGGAGTCTAACCTACCCTAACCAATACATCAGCCATCACCGGCTTCTGAACTGTTTATTTCTGCAACCTCAGTCCTGCCAATTTTATTTCCTAAGTCCTTCAAAAGCTTTCCTTACTCTTAGGACAAAAACCTAAACTTTGCCATAAACTATGAGAGCACGTAAGATCTAGTCCTGTCTACCCTCCACTTCCCCAACCTCCTAGGTCACTTTCTTCTCTGCTCTCTTTATAGTCGCACCAGCCATTTTTCACTTCTATAAATGCAGCATGCTCCTTCTACCTCGGGTCCTTTGCACATACTATTCCCACTTATAGAAACACTCCCTCCTCCCCTGATTCTTTATCTCTTACTCAGTTTTCTGCACTTTTCTCAAACAGGGAACAAATATGGGGATATAGCGAATAAATTCACTTTTCAAGAAAAAGATCCATTATACTCATTGCTTTGTACTTGTTATGCTTAAGGGTTGGGAAGAATTTGTGAGGCTGCATTTATTTTATTTTTATTTGTTTTTGAGTTGGGGGTCTCATTCTGTTGCCCAGGCTGGAGTGCAGTGGCATGATCACAGCTCACTGCAGCCTTGACCTCCTTCTGCCTCAGGCTCCTGAGTAGTTGGACGACAAGAGCACGCCACCACACCAGCTAATTTTTTATTTTTGTAGAGATGAGGTCTTGCTATGTTGCCTAGCCTGGTCTCAAAATCCTGGACTCAAGCAATCCTTCTGCTTTGGTCTCTTAAAGTGCTGGGATTACAGATATGTGCCACTGCACCTATCAGAGGCCGCATTTTAGAAGCTGAAAGCACATGTGTGCAAAAAATTGTTTCATGAAAAATTGCTAACAACTCATACATGAAAGGGCATAAGTCAGTTTAGGTAAATTAAGTAATATTATTAAAATAGACTATTATATAGCCTTTTAAATTAGGCTTAGCACACAGACAAATGCATATTATTGAGTGAAAAGGGGACAGGATAAAATGTAATGTTTAAGGAAATATGCAAAATGTCAACAGTAGTTGAGTTTGGAGAAAAGGACTTTGAACAAGTTGTTTCCTTTCCTTTCTGGCCTCTTTTAAATTCTTCTGTGTTTTCTAAAATTTTGGCAATACTCCAATATTCTATAATAAAAAAACAATAACTGCACCTACATATTCGTATTCTAACTGAGACTAAACTCTGACATTCTTCTTTTCTTGCCCAAATTCCTACTTAAGGGACCTGGAGGGGTCTCACCCTACAAACCATAAAGTCTCATCAGACAGGTTTTTATTAACTCTATATAATGTGGCTTACTTTCCAGCATGACTCTGGGATCACATCACATAGATTAAGAAGGAAATAAAAAATATTTTCTGACCCAGCAAAGCGTCTCTTGGGGAAATTTGCATCTGTATAGAATTCCCTTCTGGGATTCCCAGAAGAGCCAGGTACCTTTTATTTATTTATTTATTTTAGTCTGTTTGTTTATTTATTTCAGACAGCTTTCAAGATATTTGCCACCTAGTCTCTCTGAATTCTGCTGCTTCGAATCTTCATCTACATATCAAGATCCCCTGCTTTGGCTTCTTCAACAACCTCCTTATCTTAACCAAGATTTCTTTTACTGACTTCACATTCTTTAGACAGAACCTAACCCTTTCTACCAATTGCCAATCAAAAAATCTTTGAATCCTTCTATGACCTATGAGCACCTCCCTAGTCCCTCCTCCCCTCAAGAAATGTCTCCTGCTTTCTCAGGGCCAACCAATGTAAACCTCACATGTATTGATTTATGTCTTGCTTGTAATTTCTGTCTCCCTAAAAATGTACACAGCACGTGTTCTCAGGACTTCTTGGGACTGTGCCATGGGCCTAGATCACTCACATTTGGCTCAGTATAAACCTCTTTCAATACAGAGAGTGCCAAGAAATGTATACATTTTAAGAAAGAAAAAAAAACTGTGTTAAAATTGTAATGAGATATACTGATAACAAAAGATGAATACAAATCACATTTGACTTCTGCAATTGTGAGAGGTGCTCAAAGTGTTTATCATCAGCGTCCAGATACTTCTGATTATAGTGAACATCTCTTAACATCTCTGAAATGTGTATACATTTTTTTGGCACCCCCAGTATTTTACAGAGTTTGGCATTTTGGCATTTTTGTTAATATGACCGTGTATTTCATAACTTTTCTCCTTCTCCCCAGCCTGAAAGCTGTAACTTATTCATCTGTGTCTCCTTGGATGAGAAGACATTCTGATCTAACCTGGATTAGATATTCAATAAAAAATTGCCCAATGAATAACATAAATGAATTTGAACAAAAGTCTTCTTTAAGCAGGCCCTTACTGAGTTCCACTTCCCTGGCCATTACCAGAGCCTGGGTTGCTAATCCTCAGTCTAGGATATTGCAAGCCACTGGGCGATGTTATTTGGGTTTAGAGAATCCTCCCCAGCCAACCCAGAGGTCACTAAGCTGTCTGATTATAGATGGGGTAGAGACGACCATGAGTACGGACAGAGCCACTGATAGCAGCAAAGTAAAAGTAGTTTCTCTCCCATTTAGTATTATAGTGGTCAGTATGTTGACTGGAGATTTGGCTGAAGAATGATGTCCTTGTCCAGCAAATTCACTGTGTGATCAAAGTAGATGCTTTCCCACCTACTTTGAATCAATATCTTGTTTAACAAAAGGCATAATGGCAGAGACACACAGATTTTAGTTAGCCAACATTAATACAAAGGGTTCCATGGGTAAAAACGAAAATAAAGACTGTAATGCCAGACCCAAACTGGGCATACAACCTAGGATCTCACTATAAGGTTACCAAACGAGCCTCTGGATAAAGTCTTGAGTCAGGGCCCCGGGTGACATGGAAGATTGGCCAGAGTTCATTATAATGTCCTAGGCTCCCCATGGTAAATACTTCCCCATCTGGGTTCTGGTTCTCTCAATCTCCTTTAAGTGTCCAATTTCTTGTTTTGTTGCCTTTTTCACCCTATTCTTTGACTCCTTCCGATTCCAACTCTCAAGAAGAATCACAACTTGACCCATCATGCCTCCAGATGGTGTTTCATCTTAGAAGCATGTGCTCCTAGTGGTCAGGTAGGGAGTGACTGTTCTGCAGATCCCTGCACAGCTAGACAGCTCATTCATGGGAATCTCTGTCGGGGGTTTTGTCTTACTTCCTTTCTAGGAATACAGAATTTGGTTCTGGAACATTTACTGATAAGGCTGGAGGGGAAGTATTACAAAGGTCAAGGGAATCTTTACAAAGAAGAAGCTAATACACAATTACAAAGATAGATTTATACTTCAGCTATCCCGAGGCTCTTGGAACATCTCAGAGAAAATCAGACTCGCCTGTGATTTGGAAACAGAAAGCCCTAGATTAACATATTTCTCCTATTTACTCTAAAATGGGTTTTCTGGCCTTGTAAATAACAGGTTAAAGTAAACCCTCAGGTGATGGGGCTGAGATCTAAAATTAAGAAGTCCTTAGAGCAGGGATACCACTGCCTGTCTACCACTGCCTGGCAGACAGGGTATAACCAGGAAACCTGGGTTTGGGTGTGGCCACTGCAGAGAATATCTTTTGAGGACAGCAATCAGGAGACTAGCTGCCAATGGCACAAGAGTCATTCATTTCTTCATTCCAATGTGGGAGTGAAACCCCTAGGGCACACATCACACCTGAGTGGTCTAGGAAGAGAGAACTAGTAGCTGGGCTTTGCTCTGCTCTATGTTTGTGCTTTCTGTGTTTTCTTGAAGGCAAATATCTTTATAAAGAGAATATTACCACTCTCTATTGTCATTCACGATTCCTCACCTCCCTCTGACTTCCTAGTCCTTGTTGGCCTTGGGTTAGCAAGGCCTACTCCAGCGCAATGCCTATTTCACAACTCTTAACAGTACTGGCTACCTGCTCTAATGACTCCTGTCCACTTCTTGTTGAATAAGCTCCAGGTTCCTGTTGGTTTGCCTCTGCCATGTCTCTTAGGTTCATCCATGCCTTATCTTCCCACCACCAATGACCTCTCCTCTAAGCTACTATGATGGGTCTTCACCAGCCACTCTGTCCCAGTATTTCCCTTCTTTAAGCCATTTTCTGCACTGCTGGTGGCTTTCTCTTCTGGAAACACAGCTCCTTAATATCACTATCCATCTGCCTTTGTCTCAACTTTTTGGACAGGCATTCAGGGTCTCCCACGGTCCAGTCACAACCCACCTTATAAATCTGGAGCCCTCCACACCAGTTCTGCACACTGGGCTGCACCAGACTAAAGCTTATACTGTTCTCTCTACAGCCTCAAGAATCTCCTACCTCCATGAATTTTCTCACACTCCCTTGTCTACTTAGAACTCCTTGCCCTCAACTTTGCACATCTACATTCTATCAGTGTGATAGGCCAATATTAAAAAAAAAAAAAACAAACCAAACATCTGTTTTACCTCATCTGTCCCAGCCAGAGCTCATCTTTCCTCCTCTAAATTTCTGTAGCATTTTCCACAGAGTGATTGAGACTCTTGCATAGCTTTCCTGCGAGCACTGCATCCCTGAGCACAGATTTGTGTCTAATTTATCTTTGTAGCCCCAACTTGGCACAGGGCTCCATGAGTGAGTGAACAAGCAAATACATGAATGAATTTCTCACCTGCAACTTGGCAGTTAATTGTCACATTCACTCCTTGCACCGTTTTGATGGTACTTCCTATATCGACCGTGATGTCAGGCTTCTCTGTGTTGACCACAGTCATTCTTGACGTTTTTACTAGTGGCTTTCCTGAAGGTGAGAAAGAATGAGATGTTACCAGATGGTGACTGTGGAGTTGGGGAATTCCTTTGGAACATGGGATAATCACCAATGAACAGCTGGTCTACCCAGACTTCTCCCTCTAACTATTTTCTCCACTGAAAACATTATAACTACACGATATAAAACTACCCACCCACCTATCTACCTATCATAATGTTGTCCGAAGATCAAAAGTTAAAGAGTCTGAAGACAGAGCATGGTATACAAGTTGAGATGATTTATGCATTTGAAATCATAATCAATTAGCAAAGATATCACATTTTTAAGGGCTCATTAAATCACAGAGCAATCCTGTGTATACTTACTCAGTTTCCCCCAATGGTAAATCTCACAAAACTAAAATCCAATATCGGGGTCCCAAATTAACACTGATAGGGTTAGGCCACAGAACATTTCCATTACTACAAGGACCCCTCATTTTGCTCCCAAATCTTGCTTAGCCTTTTGGCAACCATTAATACGGTTTCCATTTCTATAATTTTGTCATTTAAAAAATCCTATGTAAATGGAGTCACACAGCATGTAACCTTTTGTGATTGGCTTTTTCCCTCACTCTAAATAATTCTCTGGAGATTCTTCCAGGTCTCCCATGGTATCATGGTTGCATGCATCAGTAGTTTATTCCCTTTTATTGCTGAGTAGTATTCCATAGTACAGATGCACCACAGTTTGTTTAATCATTCACCTGCCAAAGGACATCTGGGCTGTTTCCAGATTTTGACGATTACAAATAGAACTGCTGTAAACATTCCAGTATAGCTTTCTGTGTGAGGATGTCTTAATTTCTCTGGGATAAATGCCCATGAGTGCAATTCCTAGGCCATATAGTAGTTGGATGTTTGGTTTTCTAAGAAATGGCCTGTTTGCCAGGGTGGCTGTACCATTTCACTTTTCCTCCAGCAACATATCACTAAGTCAGTTTTCCTGCTTCCTTGCCAACATGTAGTGTTGTACTAGTTTTTATTTTAGCCATTCTGATAGGTGTGTGGTGATATCTCTTTGTAGTTTTACTTTGTATTTCCCTAATGACTAATGATAATGAATACCTTTTATATGATTATTTGCCATATATATATATATATATATATATATAAAATTTCCTTTTTTTTTTTTGAGTTGGAGTCTCACTGTCACCCAGACTGGTGTGCAGTGGCCACTCCTGGCCACCGCAGCCTTGACCTGCTGGGCTCCGGCGATCCTTCCACCTCAGCCTTCCGAGTAGCCGGAATTACAGGCATGTGCTACCACACCCAGCTGATTTTTTGATTTATTGTAGAGATGAGGTCTTGCTGCCCAGGCGAGTCTCGAACCCGCGGGCTCAGGCAATCCACTCACCTCAGCCACCCAAAGGCGTGGGATTACAGGCTGAGCCACCGAGCCTGGCTTATATAATTTTCTTTAGTGAAATATCTATTCATGTCATTTAAGCAATTTCTAATTAGATTGCTTTCTTACTGTTGAATCTGGAGAGATCTTTATATTCCAAATACTAGTTCTCTGTCAGATATGTCGTTTGCAAATAATTTCTCCCAATCTGTAGCTTTTCTTTTCATTTTCTTTCTTTTTTTTTTTTTGAGTCAGAGTCTTGGCTCTGTCACCCAGGCTAGAGTGCAGTGGCACGCTCACGGCCACTGCAGCCTCGACTTGCTGGGTTCAGGCGACCCTTCTGCCTCAGCCTTCCAAGTAGCTGGAACTATAGGTACGCGTCACCACACCTGGCTAATTTTTTCATTTATTGTAGACATGAGCTCTCACCAGGTTTCCCAGGCTAGTCTCGAACCCATGGGTTCAGGCAATCCTCTCACCTCAGCCTCCCAAAGTGCTGGGATTATAGGCATGAGCCACTGTGCCCTTTTCTTTTCATTTTCCTAATAGAATCTTTTATGGAGCAAAATTTTTAAACTTTGATGAAATTTAATGTATTTTTTTAATGAATCATGCCTTAAAAATTGATAAAATAAAATTTTTAATTGATACAAAATAACTGTATTTATGGGTACAGTATAATGTGTTCATACACGTATACATTGTATAAGATTGAATCAGAGTATTTAGAATACGTATCACCTCATATATTAATCACTTTTTGTGGTTAGAACATTCAACACCCTCTTTTCTAGCTATGTTGAAATATACAATACTGTGAAGCATAGTTACCCTATTGTGCAACAGAACACCAGAACTTACTACTCCTCTCTAACTATAATTTTGTACCCCATTGGCCAATCTCCCCCTCCCCCTCTTCCAGCTTCTGGTAACTACAATTCTACTCTCTTTTTTCTACATTTAATTTTTATCTTTCAATTTTACATCCAGGGAGTACATGTGCAGGCTTGTTACATGGGCATATTTCATGATAGGGAGGTTTGGGTTTCTATTGAACCCAAATAGTGAACATAGCATGCAAGAGGTCGTATTTCAACCTTTACCTGGCTCTCTCCCTCCCTCCCCCTCTTTCCCTCTTTAAGAGTCCTCAGTGTCTATGGTTCCTATCTTTATATCTGTATATACTTCACGTTTAGCTCCCACTTAAAAGTGAGAACATGAAGTACTTGCTTTTTTGTTTCTGGGTTAATTTGCTTTGGATAATGGCCTCCAGCTCTATCCATGTTGCTGCAAAAGACATGGTTTTGTTCTTTTTTATGGGTATAATATTCTATAGTGTATATGTACATTTTCTTTCTTCCATCTGTCATCGATGGGCACCTAGGTTGATTCCACATTTTTGCTGTTGTGAATACTATTCTACTCTCTACTCCTGTGAGAGCCACTCTTTTAGGTTCCACACATGACTAAGATCATGTAGAATGTTTTTCTGTGCCTGACTTATTTCACTTAACCCGGTGAGCTCCAGGTTCATCTCTGTGGCTACAGGTGACAGATTTTCATTCTCTTTTATGGCCACATAGTATTCCACTGTGTATCTGTACCATATTATCTTTCTTTTTGGTGGGGGAGGGTGTTGGTCATATTTTCTTTTTCTTTAATTTTTTATTTTGAAGATGTGGGGTATAATTCAGGGTTAGGTATACAAATGTTCATTATGCAGGTACCTTTGTTGATGAAATGTGCCTCCCCCTCCCCGGGCAGAATCCCATTATTGCCAATCCTACCTCCTCTCCCTCTCCGTCCCCCCACCACGGTTTCCTGCGACTGCCAATCCTCTTCTTATAGTACCACATTTTCTTAATCCATTCATCTGTTGACAGACACTTAACCATTGTGAACAGTGCTGCAAGAAAGTATGAGAGTGCAGATATCTCTTCAGTATACTGATTTCATTTCTAGGAGAGGGACTGGTGGATCATACTGTAGTTTTATTTTGAATTTTCTGAGAAATTTCTATATTGTTTTCCATGATGGCTACACTATTTCACAGTCCTGTCAACAATATATAAGAGTCCTCCATTTTCCACATCTGCACCAGCACTTGTTATTGATATTTCATTTTTGAGTTGGAGTTTCGTTCTGTTTTCCGGGTGGAGTGCACTTGTGCAATCATGGCTTACCTCAGCTCTGACATCCTGGGCCCAGGCAATTCTTTTGCTTCAACCTCCTTAGTCTAGATGCATGCCACCACGCCCAGCTAATTTTTCAATTGATTATTATTATTTTTATGGTAGAGATGAGGTGTTGCTATGCTGCCTAGGCTGGTCTCAAACTCCTGGGCTCAAGCAATCCCCCTGCTTTAGTCTTCCAAAATGCTAGGATTACAAGTGTAAGCCACTGTGCCTGGCTATTTGCTATTTTTTATCTCTCTGGTAATAGTCATTTTAATTGGGGTGAGGTGATGTGTCATGGTTGTTTTGATTTACATTTGGAATGGTGAGCGTTTTTTCATATACCTGCTGTCCATTTGTATGTCTTCTTTTGAGAAATGTCGATTCGGGTCTTTTGTCCATTGTTTATTACAACATTTTTTGGGGGTTACTGAGTTGTTTGAGTCTCTTTTATAGTCTGGATATCGATCCCTTATCAGATGAATAGTTTGCAAATATTTTCTCTCATTCTGTAGGTTATATTTTTTACTTGATCGAGCTTACTTTGCTATGCAGAAGATTTTTAGTTTGAGGTAGCCCCCCAAATCACAACAACAGAAAAAGAAAATTACAGGTCAATATCCCCTGAGGAACACAGATGTAAAAATCCTCAAAAAACTACTAACAAACCAAATTCAACAGCATATTTAAAAGTTCCTTCACCATGATCAAATGAGATTCCTCCCAGATGCAACAATGATTCAACATATGCAAATCAATAAATGTGATATATCACATTAACAACATGAAGAGAATGCTCAACATTATGAATTTTCAGAGAAGTGCAAAACAAAACCACAATGAAGTAATATCTCACCCTAATTATAATGGTTATTATAAAAAGACAACAAATGCCGAAAAAGCATTTGACAAAATTCAACATCCCTGAATGATAAAACTATTAACAAGTTAGGTGTAGAAGGAATGTACCTCAACACAATAAAGGCAATAAATGACCAACCTACAACTAATATCATACGGAATGGAGAAAAGTAGAAAGCTTTTCCTTTAAGATTTGGAGCAAGACAAGAATATTTACTTCTTGTCATTTTTATTCAACATAGGACTGGAAGTCCTAACTAGAGCAATTATGCTAGAAAAAGAAATGAGAGACATCTACATTGGAAAGGAAGAAGTTAAACTCTCCTTGTTTGCAGATGACATGATTTCATATAGAAAACTCTAAAAGCTCCATTAAAAAACAGTTACCACTAATAAAGAAATTCAGTAAAGTTGCAGGATTCAAAAATCAACAGACAAAAATCAACAGCATTTTTATATACTAATAGCAAACTATGCGGAAAAAAATCAAGAAAATCCCATTTACGATAGTTACAAAAAATTAAATATTTAAAAATTAAGTTTAGCCAAAGATGAAAAAGATCTCCACATTGAGAACTATAAAACATTGATGTAAAAAATTAAGAG